CTGTGTCTAATATGGTGTTCAATAACTTCATTTTAATTATCTCCCCAAAAGATTTTATTACAATTAAGCTCAGCGCTTGAAAATCATTAATTCTGGTTACAGCTATGTTGCAAATCTTTGTCGCTCACAAGGTGACAGTTGTGAGTTCAGAGGCTAAACTGAAGTTTAATTATGTTAAGAATTTTGCAAGGGAAGTTAAAGGATTTTTTTTTTTTTTTTTAGTGAGGTTATCTATGCCTGTGGTTTGTACAATGCACAAGATGAAGCTGTAGGATTCCCATCTTTAAGGGATTTATGCAAGAATATCTATTGATGAAGCAGTTGTTTTTCTTGTAAATACAGTATCTGTGTCTGAAAACTGTAGGTGAGAGAAGTTTCTAAACTGGAATGAAAACTTTACTGTGTTTGTACTGGGGTAAGAAATGTGGTGATTATATAAATATATCTTTTGCTGAATATTTGTCAGAAATGTTTAGAGAGGTCTAACAAAGCAAATCAATATCTTGTTGAGAAAATGAATGGTAATGAAATAAGAAGGATGATGTGGTTGATAACATAAAAGCAGAAGATGAAGAGGAGTTATACTTCTTTACCATGGTCCTTTATCCTGTATATATATATTTTTTTTTTTTTGTGGTGTTGTGCTCACCAGTGGTCAGATGAGACCACGACAGCTAGCACCAACACAGCAGGAAGAGCAAATCCTAGCAGTAGTTTAGCCTGGAGGGGAGAGAGCATTTAACTCGAGAGAGGGGAAACCTTAAAAGGATCGATAAAAAGGCAAATACGAACATCACTGAGTGTTTAAGTATACTTTTTGCTGAACAGACCAAGAGAGTACCAAGAGAGTGTTGGTACCATATTTATTTCCAATTTTATGTTTTATCTGCCTGATGAAGTACTGGTAAGAATCTCACTCTGTATGAAGAGGTTGATAGTCCTGTCTGTGTTAGTTTAGTGTATGAAAACCACAATAGTAGCTTACAGTAACATGGAAGTATTTAATTAAATTGTATGGGACTGGTTACATTGTGAGTTTAAGCTGTTCAGAACTTGCAATAGTGCAACAAAAATACAGGTCTTTAGAAAGTATTTTCCAAGTGTAGTGAACTTGATGATTGATTCAAAGTTTTTTGCACAGCTGGGGAAGTGGAGGGAAAAGGGCAAATGTTAACTTGAGAGCAGGTGTTTTGAACTTGGTTGTAGCTATGCCAGCTGGAAAGATGGAATGCTGTTTATTTAATAGCACAGGATAGAAATGTTTTTATAAGGAGAAAATGCAGTCATTAGAAGATGGTGGAGTTGCACCTGAATCCTTTTTCTGCAGAATGCTGAGGACAGCTGTAGCAGTGGTGTGTGCTGTGCCCTGCAAAACAGTTGGAAGCAGGGGACTTAGACATGCTTGGATGTGCTTTGAGTGCTGTATTTCTGTCTACCTAACACCAGTATTACTTAAGAAAAAAAAGCAACTTGGCATCGGTATGAGAATATGCATATCAAAATAATGTCAGAGGATGTTAGAGGAATCCTAGAGATTTTTTTTTCCCCTTTTTTCTTTCAGTTGCCTTTTTGCTCCTGCTTGTGATCCCCTGTAATCTGTTCCTTCTGTCCAGATGTTTTGTGGCTTGTCTGATGTTATGCATGTGTTTTAGGGTTTGATTTTAATGCAGCAGTATTTTGAAAGATGTACAGATTTATATGAGGTGTGGGTTATATGGGTGAAAACACAATGTTTAATTTGGGTTTTTTTAATTGTATTAAGTAATACATCTGAATTAAACTTTACTCAGAATGTGAAGTATCTGGTGTTGGTAATTCTGTTTAACAGTTTTATGTGGTAGCATCCAGGTGTGTGAAAATTATTTTGTCTTTTGCGGTTTTAAAACATTATAAATGCTGGAAGAGATGATCTGGACTGTGCTGAGCCTGTTTTAAAAGATCCCTTGGTAGCTGCCATTAATGCTTTTCCAAGATAATTGAACCTTGAGTAAAGGGTTGTTACTACTATTCTGGAGATGCTTATGTATTGCAAATGCAGGGATAGCTGGGAGAATCAAAACTCAAAACCTTAGCTTATTGGGCCAATGCTTTCTGCATAAGCTGCTATTTTAGGCAGTATGAACTCTTTTGACTTAACATGTTCAATTGCTTGGTGAAGTAAAAAGCGTACCTGAGGCTATCTTTAGTGAAGTTCTGCCAGTGACTTAAAGAATTTCCAAAAGACTTTTCTCCTATAATCCTGTAGAAAGCACCATGCTTACAGGAGCACTTCTGCTTTCATTAGCATGAGTTGTAGAAACTGGAGAATCTATTATTTTTCCATTTGAAGACAACTGTTCTATTGAACCACATCCACCAACAAAAGCAATGCATCTGGGAAATGGGCATCTTTCTGAATTTTTAGGAAGTGACTAAATTTTTTTTCTTTTTTCTTTTCTTTAAAAAAAAACCTGTCAGGTTTATTGTTTGGACTTGAGACAAAGATCAGCTTTTTAGTTTGAAGTAGTAGCTGAATTTGCAAACTCCTCCTTGGTAATTGAGGGGTATTTTTCTCCAGTGTGCTTGCATTATTCTTAATTTCAGGAAATTTGGTATGCTTGCAGATACATTCCTGCTGACTCTTAGGAATAGGTGGCCTGTAGTGGTAAAGATCTGATTATGCCCAGAAGGTCACAAAGTCAATCTAATTAATTTAGCTTACCCTAAATCTTTAGTTCCTTCAGGCTGAAAACAAAACTGTAGTGAGTTGTAAGATCACTGAGGTTAGTCAGTGGGTAGTCATGATCCTTGCTGGGGGGGAAACCCTCAAAAAATTGAGGGAAACTATCTCAGTCAGGTTTAAAACACCATGTAAGTTTTTCTGCAAATACTTACTTTTATTTGAGAAGGAATTATGCGGTACAGCCCCTAGATGATGTTTTGATGGGTTTGATTAGCTGCTGGCACAGATAAAGGGATTGAGTCATGAATCTTTCTGATCTGTTAAAATACGCATTTTGTACAAGAACAAAGAAGCTCTAATACTGTTGTTGATGTCTTTGAAATCTAACACAAAAATGGGTCTTTTCAATCTTTTTGAAATTGCAGTTTTCATACAGTAGGCAAAAAGTAGGATAATTTGTCATAGCAACTCCTGAACATTTTGTAATAGTTTTAATAAGGTTATACAAAGAAAATAATGTTAAAAATTTTAAATTAATTCATATAATTACGCATGCTTTGCACTCTTCTATAAAAAAGCATTTTGAATAACTGAACCTAAATTTGGTTGATTTTTGTAGTAAAAACTTATTTTTGAAAGTAAATAGATTATATATGGTAATGCAGTTTTTACTTCTTGGTTGTAAAATTTAAGATGCATTTGGCTTATATTAGGTAAATTTAACACTTTAAATTGTTCAGCTGTTAAGGCTTCACGGTTCAATATCAACAGCTTGAAAAAACAGAAGAAGGAAAAAAAAAAAAACCCAGAAGAAAGCAACCCCCATGTAAAACTCTCCAAACCTGAATTATTACGTGTGTTGTAGTAAAAAGGGTCAGTCTTGCTTCTGGGGTATCTAGGCTTCTATGAGTTGGTTTTGGTATCTTACTTAAAATTCAGAAGTAGTGGCCAGGATACCTGGGGTTTTACTCCAGGTGCATTTCTGTTAACAAACAAACAAACAAGCAAACAACAACAAAAAACCCCAAACCCAACCAGCTAAAACCCAAACCAAACAAACCCAGCCCCCCCAACAAACAAACACCCCTCCAGAAAAAGAACCATCAAAACTAACCCCAAAACAAAGCAAAACCCCAAACCAAAAAAACACCAACAAGAAAACCCAAACTGATTGTGATGCCACAGAATATACTTCATGTTCAGAAATCCTGTTCAAAGGTAGAGATGCTGTATACTTGCATTAAAAGCCTTGCTTATACCTTTCTTCTAACAAAAAAAGTGATAGTTATCACTGAGCGTTTGTCTTTCTCTCCATCCTTCCTATCAATACTGTGATAATAGAATGGCTTAATTTATGATATCACATTACAAAAGCATCATCCAGAAAGTGAAGCACACATTTTGAAACACTAGCAGTGAAAGTCTGATTTGGCATTGTTGGAAGAGCTCCCATTGCTGCCTTAACCTTTCAAACAAGCCCTTAAACATACGTGCTTGCAATTTTGCAAAATGATGAATACAGTTAGCTTTTTATATAGAGAAACTTGATGTTCAGCGCTTTAAAGGGCTTGCTCTTTACTACTTAATTTGCATAATTTGGTAATTGGTAGTGTGTCTTGCCATCTGTAGGAAAAACAGTCGAGTTTCCACAGAATATATATATATATATGTATAAAAAAGCACATAGAAATCAATCCTATAAGTCTAGACTACGTAGTTGAAATGTACCATATGTAGTTGAATAAACCCATTTTTAGCATTCTTTTGTGCTAATGCATTTGATTAAAATGTTATGCCTGCTTAATTGGCTTCACAGACTTGCATTTCAGTATTTTCAAGATGTCAGCAAATGTCTGCAAATGTTTACGCTGGCCACTTCAACAGAAGATAAAAATACGGGTTTTCCCTCCTGTGGTCAGTAATATAACTCAAATTACATTAATTCAAGTATGTTTACAAACAAAATTTGTTTTTTACTTTTCAATAAAATCTGATACATTTAAAAAATAAAATTTTATTTCTGCATAAATTTCCATGGAATACAGAGAATATCACTTACAATGTTTTAATATGAAGGCTGTGGTCTACTTTGTGAGTAAGAAAATGTGCAAGTGAGGATTCTGTGTGTTGTGAATTGATTTTCTGAAGACGTCTGTCTCAGCTTCTAGAGATGTTTTTATATTTATGCTTCAGTTGCATTTCAGAGAGAAAAGAAACTGATATGTCTAAAATCAAGAGAATATTTTTATTTGTATGGGCAGTTTTTACATTTTGCTCAACTAGTAATTCATTAAAGAAGACATGTTTTGACAAATACTTCCATTTGTTTCTTACACAGACAAAAGAAGTTGGTTTGCTTGATGCAGACATATATGGACCTTCAATTCCAAAGATGATGAACTTAAAAGGAAAGCCAGAATTAACACCAAGTAAGTGGAAGTAATTTTTTTTCTTGCTGTCTTCTTTGTGCATGGGTGAGCATGGCTCACTCATTGGTGTGGCACAGAGGGAATGCAAATAGAACATAAAGACTTAGTGTATTTGTTTTATTTTATTTTTAGTAATGAGGTTGCTTTCAAAGCTAGCTTGTACAACTAGGAGCAATATTCAGTACTTGGGTTTTTTTTTGGGTGGGTGTTTTGTTTTTGTTTTTTTTTTTATGTTGGGCCACAGGCTTTGAGAGTTTTGTGGATTATTACTGGAGAAACTGTCAAATTGAATACTTCCTAGATTTAAGTACCTGGCTTACAAATATGGGCTTTATTAAATTAATTTCTAAGAGAGAATACTTGGTTTTAGTTTTTGGGTTTCTGTTTTGAAGTCAAAGACTAATTATGTTGTGAACAAATAAATAAACGAATCCTCTCATGTATCATCAGTAGAGTTTGACTTCCCTGATACAAACTGAAGTATTCTTGTATTTTCTTGTACTTTGGACCCCACTGAAGGTGTATGTCATGCAGGCCATGTTTTCATGTGACAGATTTTTTTGCAATGAATTTTTCATTTGAAGTGCATTATGCAAGATGAACACAAAGGGGACTGTGTTGTGGTGTTCTTCATATCTCTCCTTTTTTAATGTGACCTTGATTTTTAACTTTCCAAAGGAGATGAGGTAAAAATTCGGTTCTCCATTTATTTTATTCCTCACTGTCTGAAAAATTGATAAGATAAATTTGAACTTCTTACACATTCTGCTGTGCTTTTTGTCAATCCATACAAAAATTAAATCCATGTTATGAGCCACAGATAAGCAAGTTGCCCAGTCTATTTTGTATGATCATACAGATTAACTTGCTAGGGATTCAAGAACTGAAGCGTATATTCAGTTGAGTATTAGGGCAGCTCAATTTTGTTTGTACATAAATTTCAGTTACTAGATACTTTGGGTATATAGCTGAGAATTCACCATAAGCTTTTGTCTTAACATATTTCAAGTGTTAAAAATACACAGTTCAATGTAATGGAAAGAAATTGGAGGATTTCCCTGAATTTAAATTGGTGCTGTTGACTTCTAAGCACTAATATTTTGATCACTAAGATGTATTCTCTCTACTTCTGTGTGGAATGTACAAGCAAATATTACCATGATTTAAGAACTTTCCTTATTTTTTAACTGACAGAAGATGAATATGTGTATTTCACATCTGAACACATTACACTAGTCTACTGAGGAACTCATGTAGTCATTCAGTATGAATGATAACAGGATAGAATTTGAATTTCAGGAATTCTGTTCACTTCTCTGTGTGCTTTTAACTCTTGAGTTGCTGAAGCTGTAGAGTGACAACAGTGACAGTGCTGACAAAGTAGCTGACATGATTTCATTGTGAAAGTAGGAATTTGGAGGGCCTGGGAGGCGTTAATTGTGAACTTCCAGTGTTCCTTTTAATGAGTGACAGGTAGGATAAGCTTGCAAGGAAGTGATCCATCATGGGGGGGTGGGGTGGTGTTGTGTGCATATGTATGTATATGTGTGTATATATATGTGTATAGATACAATATGTATGACCCTTGTATGTTGGTATAATGAGATTTTAGTGTTATTTTCTGGTTTCTTGTTACATTTTCAGAATAAAACATAAACTCTGAATAAATAGTTTTTACAGAGATTGAGCAAAGCCAGGCAGTTCAGTGTTAAAGATGTGCATTAACAATGTATACATAAGTCAATTAAAAACTTTTCTTTCCAATAGCATAGCAGTAAAAAATTGTGTTTAAACACTATTGCTGTATTCATTGTGAGGCCTGGATTTGTAAATGAAACTGTAGAGTAACCCTTTCAGGTTCTGACCACTCTTGCACTCTTTGACTTCTAGTTCTTTTCTCACACGTAGCAGCTGAAAAGGGATTAGGGATGTCCAGTGCTGTACAGAATAAATCCATGAAGCAATTATTAGTTCTGAATTGAAATTATTGTAGTTATGGTATAATTTAAGTTTTCAAAATGAATTAGGAGTTCTTAGTGAGGGGAGAGTCTATAAATAGAAGACACTCCATTAATTTAGTTTTGCAAACTGTAGTACATTGGAAAGTCTGTTAACATTTAATAGGATGTCATTCAAAATAGTATAACTAAACAGTCAGGGAAATGCTGTTTAATAAGTTCACAACTGAATTTAATTAGCTAATGGAGGATTATCTAACTATGGAATAAATATTAGTATCAGCTACAGTATAGGCACAGGACAACACTTTTAATGCAAGTAGCAAAAGCATTACTTCTATTCTTAGCCCAAATAATTTACTTAAAAGCTGTTTTCTGGCTTAGTGAACTGCATAATTTATTTATTTTTATTTTTTTTAATCTGCCATTTAAACTAGCTGCCAGAGAGTAAAAGCTATTATACTGCCGAGAAGACATTGCCATTTTGCCAGATAAATATAATGTTTATTTGCTTAATTTAAATGATGATGAAGGTTATGGTATGCTTTTTTTTTTTTTCTTTATGACAGTTGAGCGCTCTCTTAATATTTCAAACCTTTCTTGCCTTTTTATGATGTCCTCAGTGTCTTTTCCTTAATAAAATAGTATATTTGAAGGATCAGTAGTGGGCATCTGTGTTCCAAATTTGGAATAGAAAGTAATTTCTGAGAGAAAGCTAGCAGTAGTTATGGCTGCCCCATTAAGTCTGATAATACTGCAGGGGCTATAGAAACTAAATTCCTGATAAAATACCAAAGTCAGAAATGGGCATGTGCATTTTTTCACTGGGACACATTTACATGTCTGCTAATCTTTAGACTGTGATTGCTGAATCTTGTGACAGAAAGTGATAATTTAAAATAGCATCTGTTGAAAACTGCTTAAAGATGTCTGCTGAAAATACCAGGGGATTGTAGTGCAGCTATTTGTGGGTTATAAATAGAAAGTGGACTACTTAAACTGAGAAAACACAAGACAGGTAGGGTAGTTATTGAGGTAGCCATGCAGAAGTTTCTTGGTCTAACATACGGGTTTAATTTTAAAAGTACAGCTTGTATTCTCAAAGAACATTGTCATGCTTTACCAGCAGAACTCAATCGTGATTAATTTAAAGAAAACCAAAATCTGATTCTTTCAGAAAAAGTCATAATTGCTATTGCCATTACCTCTGGATTTGAGAACAAATGATTTTTCGATTGTGTTTAGTCTAATGATATGCTTTACTCTATTTGGAAGAAGTCTGAACTGAAACCCTGTGTTTTACGTTTGGTGAGGCCTTAACCCAGTTAATCAGGGTGACTGGAGTAGTCCCATGTCTTACATGTGACAAAATAATGATTCAGAAAGTTATAATTAGTTGTGGTTTATATTTTGGAAGCTCTTTCATATGTGATGAGGTAGTTCAAAATGTGAAGAATACTGAAGTGTTATATACTTTATTCTGGAACTGATTATTGCCCTCAAGCTTGTAACAATTAACCTCAAGCTTGATTAATTCAGCTATTGTTGGATTCACTTGTGGAAAAAATTGTTGACATTGGGAGGGAAAGGAGATGGAGGATACTGAACTCTACAAGGAATTATTTATAGGCATATTTATATGCAGTTGTTAGCTGCTGTTTAAAAAAAAAATAAAAAAGCCCTCGGGACAGTTAATTTATTAAAATTTTATCCTTCATTATGCGTAAGTTCAAACTTACAATTACCAAAAAGTAAGGCAGAAAAGTATAAGATGAGAAATGTAGTGCAGTAATTAAAGTCTCTTACTGAGAGCAGTCTTTTTTGGATAAATGGCAAATCAAATTTTACTAAATGCTATTGCAGTATGAATTACGGAAACACTGTAACCTGAAAAAAATACATTTCAAGTACTTGAAAGTGGAAGTGTATTACTCTTTGTGTTGTTAATCCTGGAATGCAGTAATTATAAATGTTTTAACATGCATTATGGCTAGAAAATTATTCATTACCTCATGAAGTTCACTCTTAAGAGATACAAACTGTTTGCCTGGTTCAACTTTTATACAAATTGGAATTAAGTTGCAAAATGCTTTTCTTACAGTAACATTATAGATACACATTTTATTGTATATACATAAGTGATAGAAATTATTCTTTTTTACTTGTATATTGAACACATGTACCTTTATGCTTATTTCAGAGGAATAAATGTTTCCATCCCTCTCTTCTGGTAGAAGTAAAATTCAAGAACTGTATCTAATTCTGAATTTTCACGGTATTTTTGTGTAGAAATTTCACTTCCATGTTTTTGTTTTTTTTTCTGCGAGTTTCTTGCTCTATTTTCCCTCTTTTGTTCCCCTTCTCTACAGTACGACGGAGTGGCTTTTCAGAATAAAGAAATAAAGTGGAATACATCAAAAACAGAAAAAAAATGTATTTCAGTCCTTTCCCTATATTGATCGGTAGCTGAAAGTGACGGAGTTTAAAAGTTAGCATCAGTTTCCTTGGCTTTAGTTGGTGGTCATAATTTTGTAAAGTACCTAGAACTCCACTTTGCAAGGGGTGAAATTGGAATAAAATCACAGAAGGATGCATGAGGGAGTTCATGTGAAGTGCAAAAGAGAATATTTAATATACCCAGAAACACTTCTTTTTTACGTGGAGGATCAACAAGTTTACTATCGTTTACATCTGTGTTATCAGTGTCCAGGTGTGCTTTGAAAGCAGTTTAAGTCCCTTGTTAGCTGGAATGTTTTTTGAAGTTAGATCTTGAGCTGAAGGTAATATGTAGGGAATGCCTGCCCCTGGGGTTCCTGCTTCTCCCTGTTCTGCTTTACTGTTGTCTGTGACACTATTACGTGGCTGACCTGGGCAGTCCCCCTCTCACAGGAACCAGTCAGTGCTTCAAACACCATGAGCCTTCCCAGAGGTTTTGCATATCAGGACAAAAGCCTTGAACTGAATGTTATATTAGTCTGTATATTATATTATAGTGTGTGTGTATATATACATATATATGTATATGTACATATATGTATATGA